TATATCTATATATAAAATGTTTTCTTGGTAATGCTTTCACCTTAAGATTAAATGTGCTTGCTTATAAAAAGCTGTGTGGTAACTTATAACTGCTGGCAATTACAGCTGTTCATAGCCTTCAAAGAGAAAGTGAAGTGCAGATGGTGACCTGTTCAGGCAGTCTGGCTTGCTGGGGATATTACAATGTAGGCCAGGATCTGTTCACCATGGGAAAAACCCATCAGGAGGGAGAGAGATGCAGGTTTCTGACCAAGAGAGGTGACCGTTAAGGAACTGGGAACCTACAGGAAATACAGATGCAGTAGCCCTACACTCTGACCATGATGACTTTGGAGATGCTGCTATTTGGCAGTTGGTGAGAAGGAACCTGACTTATGAGATGGAAAGAGGAGTTATGTAATAGTCTGAGTACCTAGTCAAAGGTGAAGAGAATGGTGAGTCACTACACTCTTGTAAATTCCAAAAAGGGAATGGCAAAGGTCAATTTAGGCACAGGTTAAACTAAAAGATTCAAGAGGGGCTTGTCTTAGCCAGCCTAATGTAGAACCAATACACTGAGCTGATGGGTTTCATTTTATTCCCCAGTACAAATAGTAGACTTTCCTGGGAGCTTATTTCCTTCTGAGATTCTTCTATTCAGAGGTTAGGGAGAAAAACAAAACATCATTCCTCTCTTGGGTATTTTCTTTTCTACAGCAAAGATTACACAGAACCATTCAGCTTTATGTCCTCAATATATTGTTCATTCATACCTCAAATATTCAAGAAAGAATTCATGTCACTTTGAAGTGAGATTAGTTGTCTTCCCCCCACCAGAAACTCTGTGTCCATTCCTGTACACAAACCATCCTTGAATTACACGACTCACCGTGACCAGAAAAACTTTTTAAAATAGTCTTCCAAGTTCAAAATGCATAAATCAGTTGCATCTAGCAAAGAAAATTAGTCTTGAAATTCACAATTTCCATAATTTTGGAGCTGTTACATTTGGCTGTGGAATTTACAGTGTTATGTTTGGCATTACTAATGCTTTTAAAACCATGTCAACATTTTCTATAAAAATATGCTCTATTGCTCCTCTAGCATAAATGGGCAAATGTTCCAATAATAAAATATTAAACTGCTTTTGTGCCGATAAAGACATTAATAGGACAGAAATAATTTTAATTAATATAAATCAACCCCTGAAACTCCCACAAGGGATTTTAACCTTGCCAGCATTTTTGATATTTTTAACTGAGAAAATACTATCTGAGCAATAAAACCAAGAGGCGATAGACTCAGAAAGTACATCCTACATGAAATAAGAAGAATTTTATACTTTTTTTTTTCTTACCCTACTTTGAATACCTCTAAAGAATACAATTGCTAGCTATGTCTCTATGTATGCCACACAGGATCACCAAACAAAGACAAAGCTGGGGCATAAATATAAATCAGTTGGTGATTTTCTTTAACATAATCTTTGCATAGAAATCACTTGAGAGGAACCAGAATTGGTCTTCAAATACAGCTGCATCATTAATCTCAAGGGGAAGATTTTTCAAAGGTACAAAAGGGCAGTTGGGTGCCCTGGGGTGCTGGAACTAGGGATGCTGGAGGTGCGGCAGTACCCGCTGGCTTGAAGTGGTCTCCATCATATACAGGGTTTACAGTTTTGTTCCATGGCTCTCAGCACCCCCACTATACAAATTGTTCCAACACCACTGCAGGTGCCCAACTCTCAATATATATCAATGGAAGTCAGGCACTTAATTTACATTTGTGCTTTTGAAGAATCTGCCCCATAATTTAGGATTAAGAACATTGCCACAGCTAAAAATTACCTTGCGTACATCATGTAGTGGAAGGAAGTTAAACTAATTTCTCAAGCCAAACTCTACCCACAAACATTTTTTTTCCTTGAAGAAAGTATTGAATGACAGACATATTAACCCTTACCTAACTCAAGAAAGTCCTTGCAATTACATTACTGCTGGGAAACAAACTTACATGCCTCACAGTTATGTTAGGACATATTTCCCATAACCACAATGGAAATAGTTTTTGAACAACATGGACACATTTTTACAGCCCAGTTTAAATAAAAAAAGGTTTAAAGTGGACAAATTGCTGAGTTCACAATTAAACTATGCAAATGAAGGCCAGATCCCAATACACTTTACAAAAGGGATATATAAGATATACACTGGGATCATTTAATCCTCCATGTAGCCACATGGTAAATATTAGGCAGCGCTCAGCAACATTACATAACAGTTGGGAGCAGAAAGTGAAAAATAACATATCCAACTGAAACTGAACAGGGAATTTAGAAAAACAGGCAGAATGTCATTACATGAGTTGGAATCTGGCCAAAGCAGTTAATGCTTCTATTCTTGTGAAAAGTGCCACAGAATGACCTCATGTGGACCTTGAGTTTATGTCTCACCTTAAAGATAGCACCACCTTCTACGAGCATGGTGGACCTCGACACCATACCGCTGCATTAGTTCAGCAATAAGGGACGAGTGCCACGTACTTGGTGACAACCCCATTTCAAGAAGCACAAAAGGTTTTTCTTAGTGGTTTGGTGACCTAATTCTGGTTAGACTGAAATCTGACAGAATCAAAAACACAAGGCAGTAGTGGGAGCAATGTACACATTGACAGACTTGATGGCCAAACTGTAAAACAGCCTGGCATAAGCATATAGAGAATCTACATGAATACCCACAACTAGCAGATAGCGGTGGAATTACTTGTGCCCATGTATTTAAAATACACTAGTGTTTCCAAGCCCAAACACGCAAATCTGAATCGTGTTGCATATCAGTGGGCTGCAAAATCTCAAACAAAACAGTAACTAAATGTTAAAGCCTTTTTTTAAAAAAAATGGTACATCTGTTTTATTAAAGTAGCAACACTAACATGTTGTGACAAGTCTGGAGTGAGGGTTCGGTCACCTGAATTTTGTGTGGGAACAAATAGCAGGGAGGAGAAAAAGGACATGTCTATCTTCAAAAAGGGGTGGGGGAGAGGATCCAGGGAAATATAGACCAGTTATCCTAACTTTGATATCTGAAAAGATAGTGGAGCAAATTATTAAGCAAAAAATTTGTAAGCACCTAGAGGATAATAGGGTTTAAGTAATAGCTAACATGGATTTGTCAAGAACAAATCATACCAAACCAACCTAATTTTCTTCCTTGACAGGGTTACTGACCTAGTGGATAGGGGGCAGACTGTAGATGTGATATCTTGATTTTAGTACAGCTTTTGACATAGTCCCACATGACAGTCTCATATGCAACTTGGGAAATGTGAATGAGATGAAATTACTATAAGGTGAATATACAAAGATTATACTCAAAGTAGTTATCAGTGGTTTGCTATCAATCTGGGGGAACATATCTAGTAGGGCACTGCTCAGGTCAGTCCTGGGCCCACTACAATATTTTCATTCATGGACTTGGATAATAGAGTAGAGAGTATGCTTATAAAATCTGCTGATGAAACCAAGCTGGGAGGGGTTGCTCGCAATTTGGGGGACAGGATTAAAATTCAAAATGACCTTGGCAAACGAGAGAATTGGTCTGAAATCAACAAGGTGGAAAAAGTCAGTAAAGACAAGTGCAAAGTACTACACTTAGGAAGAAAAAATTAAATGCACAAATACACAATGAGGGATAACTGGGTAGGCAGTAGTAATGCTGAAAAGGATCTGGGGTTTATAGTGGATCACAAATTAAATATGAGTCAACAACATGATACAGTTGCAAAAAGCCTAATATCATTCTAGGATGTATTAATAGCAGTGTTGTATGTAAGACATGGGAGGTAATTGTCCTTCTCTGCTTGGCACTGATAATGCCTCTGCTGGAGTACTGTGACTAGTTCTATGTGCCACACTTTAAGAAAGATATGAACAAATTGGAGAGAGTCCAGAGGAGAGGGAAAAAATGAGGAAAAGTTTAGAAAACCTGACTTGTGAGGAAAGATGTAAAAAAAATTGGGCACGTTAAGTCTTAAGAAAGGAAGACTGTGGGAGGACCTGACAACAGTCTTCAAATATTTTAAGGGCTGTTATAAAAAGGATGGGGATCAATTGTTCTTTATGTCCACTGAAGGTAGGATAAAAAGTAATCAGCTTAATCTGTAGCAAGAGAGATTTACATTAGATATTAGGAAAAACTAACTATAAGAGTTAGGCCTATGACAGGACTCCAAGGGAGGTTGAGGAGTCCATCGTTGGAGGTTTAAGAACAAGTTAGACAAACACCAGTCAGGGATGATCTAGGTACACTTGGTCTTGCCTCAGCTCAGAGCTCTGGATGACATGACCTCTCAAGGTCCCTTCCAGTCATATGATTGGTCCTATTCCCTACTCATCCTATTAGCCAGGATGAGTAAGGAATGGTGTCCCTAAGCTCTGTTTGTCAGAGGGTGGAGATGGATGGCAGGAGAGAGATCACTTGATCATTACCGGTTAGGTTCACTCCCTCTGGGGCACCTGGCATTGACCACTGTCGGTAGACAGGATACTGGGCTGGATGGACCTTTGGTCTGACCCAGTATGACCGTTCTTATGTTCTTATATTCTTATGATTCTATTATATCTGTTCTGCCCACCAGTCTACATGTACATATCCTAGGCTAGAAAGTACATGAGGCATTACTAAATTAATTCTTAGTCCTTTGAAATGTATTAAGAAGTTGCTCATTAAAATGAGAAATGTTTAGATCCACATTACCTCATTCTCTCTCTGTGCATCCCCCAACTAAGGGAACAAAAAGGTAATAATTCACTGGGCAACAGTGCACTGATTGTGCTGAATGGTGTACATCTTGGTATGAGTTAACTGAGGATTCCTTTAGGAAAGAATGTTTATGATAATCCTGAGACATCTGTGAAAATATCATTGTTATATTTTGCAATACATCATCTTAAAAATTGAGTCACCCATGAATGAACTATGGTCTATCAATAAAACAGTCATAAAGATAGAACAGAAACTTACTTGAACATCTGTTCATATCTGGTGCTCGGAGTCCATAGTACCCTGATGGGCAGGAATGCAAGCATTCTCCATATTGCCTCATTCCTTCTCGTCGAAGAAAGAAAAACAATTTATGCTGGCATCTGATGCACCCATTATCCTTTGAGCAAGACAAACAACCTTTGCAAATTGGATTTGGTCCATAGCTAGCTGCAAAATAAAACAATAAATTTTAATAGTTTTGGAAATGGTTTTGCTGGAAAACACACACAAAAATGTTGTTTATCTACTGCATCAATACAAGTAGTTTGGGAAGGAAAAAACTTACAATAGCGTGTGCAGATCTTAACACATCTGCAGTGGAAAATGAAGTGTCTGTCTAACTTATACTTATTAGAAATGCAATCTCCTTTTTTTTTTTACAGTAGTGTGTGATTCTATTTGATAAACTTACACACCAGATTAATGAAATGCATGATTTTACATGCAACTAGAGCCCAAGAGAAATCAAATTAGTCACAGTAGCACAAGTAAAATCCATGGACCACAATATAGCTTCAACCTGAGCATGCAAGCCCATGAGAGCAGCAGTGCACAGCAGAAGACCGGTATCCTGAAACAGAGACACACAGAGTTTATCCTGCAGGACTTCTGCAAGTGCCATTTCCTCTAGAAATCTAGCTATAATGCCAATGCAATATTTTTAAAAGGACACAGATGCCAGTGTTCTGACGTGCATTTATATGACTCATGAAAACGTCCATATTGAGGGCACTGAAGTCCTCCATCTAGACAACAGGTACAGTACAGACAATGGCAGTGCAAGCTTCACCACATAGTCTGTCTTGCTTGAAGAGGCCAACTCTTGGGGTACAAAGGTAGCGCAGTTTCTGTGAAGTCACTTCTTGGTCTCTCTGATGAAAATCTCAACAATAGTTTCATTCGTGGCCAGTTGTGATGGAGCTTTTGAGTCATGAATATGTAAGAACATAATAACGGCCATACTGGGTCAGACCAAAAGTCCATCTAACCCAGTAGCCTCTCTTCTGACAGTGGCCAATGCCAGGTGCTTCAGAGGAAATGAACAATACAGGTAATCATCAAGTGATCCATCCCCGTCACCCATTCCCAGCTTCTGGCAAACAGTCTAGGAACACCATCTCTGCCCACCCTGATTAACAGGCATTGATGGACCTATCCTCCATGAACTTATCTAGTTCTTTTTTGAATCCTGTTACAGTCTTGGCCTTCAAAACATCCTCTGGCAAAGAGTTCCACAGGTTGACTGTGCATTGAATGAAGCTGTACTTGCTTTTGTTTGTTTTACACCTGCTGCCTATTTATTTCATTTGGTGACCCCTAGTTTTTCTGTTATGAGAAGGAATAAATAACACTTCCTTATTTACTTTCTCCACATAAGTCATGATTTTACAGACCTCTATTATATCCCCCCCCCTTAGTCATGTCTTTTCCAAGCTGAAAAGTCCCAGTTTTATTAATCTCTCCTCATATGGCAGCCATTCCATACCCCTAATCATTTTTGTTGCCCTTTTCTGTACCTTTTCCAATTCAAATATATCTTTTTTGAGATGGGGTGACCAAATCTGCACACAGTATTCAAGATGTTGGCATAGTATACATTTATATAGAGGTAATATATTATCTGTCATACTGTCTATCCCTTTCCTAATGATTCCCAACATTTTTTCACTTTGACTACCACTGCACATTGAGTGAATATTTTCAGAGAACTATTCACCATGACTCCCAGATCTCTTTCTTGAGTGGTAACAGCTACTTTAGACCCCATCATTTCATATGTATAGTTGGGATTATGTTTTCCTATGTGCATTACTTTGCATTTATCAACTTTGAATTTCATCTCCCATTTTATTGCCCAGTCACCCAGTTTTGTGAGGTCCTTTGTAACTCTTTGCAGTCTGCTTTGGATTTAACTATCCTGAGTAGTTTTGTATCATCTACAAATTTTGCCACCTCACTATTTACACCTTTTTCCAGATCATTTATGAATACGTTGAATAGGACTGGTCCAGTAAAGACCCCTGGAAGACACCACTATTTACCTCTCTTCATTCTGAGAACTGACAATTTATTCCTACCCTTTGTTTCCTGTCTTTTAGCCAGTTACTGATCCATGAGAGGCCCTTCCCTCTTATCCCATGACAGCTTACTTTGCTTAAGAGCCTTTGGTGAGGGACCTTGTCAAAGGCTTTCTGAAAATATAAGTACACTAGATCCGCTGGATCCCCCTTGTCCATATGTTTGTTGACCCCCCCAAGGAATTCTAGTAGATTGGAGAGGCATGGTTTCCCTTTACAAAAAACATGTTAACTCTTCCCAAACAAATCATGTTCATCTATGTGTCTGATGATTCTGTTCTTTAGTTTCAACCAATTTGCCTGGTACTGAAGTTAGGCTTACCAGCCTGTAATTGCCAGGATTGCCTCTGGAGTATTTTTTTAAAAATTAGCATCACATTAGTCACCTGGTACAGAAGTGATTTAAGTGATAGGTTACATACCACAGTCAGTAGTTCTGCAATTTCACATTTGAGTTCCTTCATAACTCTTGGGTGAATACCATCTGGCCCTGGTGACTTATTACTGTTTAATTTATCAATTTGTTCCAAAACCTCCTCTAATGACATCTCAATCTGGGACAGTTTCTCAGATTTGTCCCCCTAAAAAAAATGGCTCAAGTTGGGGAATCATCTCTCACAGACCAATGCAAAGAATTCATTTAGTTTCTCTGCAATGGCCTTATCCTGCTTGAGTTCTCCTTTGCCATCTTGATCGTCCATTGGCCCCACTTGTTATTTAGCAGGCTTCCTGCTTCTGATGTACTTAAAAACATTTTTGCTGTTTCTTTTTGAGTCTTTGGGTCGCCGTTCTTCAAATTCTTTTTTTGGCCTTGCTAATTACTACTTAAAGGGGCTGAAACCAATTTATCTCCACATGGGCCAGCAAACAACTTTGAGAGTAACAATTCTAGGTCACTACCAACTGCTGTGTCTTTAACAGATTTATGTTCTTTTTTCTACAATAAAAATGATGATGCAATAAATCTAGCAACTCCGTTCCTGCCTGAATGCCAAAAGAAGGCATCATATGACCAAGTGGATATCTACTCCCTCTTGTTCTCAATCTCCACTCCTTACACATCTTAAGAGAAGTGATTCTGAAAAGCCTTTATTGCACCATTCCTACCTCCATGCCAGCTTTCATTACTCTGCCTCTCTCCAGCTGCACAAAAACCACCACCCTCTGTCAAATTATTTCCCAGGTACTGATTCAACACAGCAGGTTAGCAGAGGAAGGATGGCTTTAGAGGCTTCTGAAAAGAGAATGTCTTGAAAAATCTGTTTTAAATATTAAATTGGCCACAGGACTTAACTGAAATTTGCCAGTTCAAACCTGGCTTACTAAAAACAAAGAGAAGCATTATGCAAAAGAAGGAAAAGATTTTTGGGGTGTCAAAAGTTTTTCAGCACAGCAGACTACGATGGCAACTTGCCAGGAGCATGAGAGTTACATTAAATTGCCATATTTTTTTAAATGAAAAATACCCACACCCAGCCATAATGTGCTTAGGTACTTTTATCCTATGAGAAGGATTAATAGAAATTGTTCAATGGCGGACATCACCAATAGATGAAAAAACCCCATACAGCCCTGGAACCAGTAGCCGATAAGCTTTACTCTCACCTTCCCACATCTGCACACCACATTCCTCCCTCACTGTCTCACTGCCCTCCCCCATGTACTTCCAAAAAGCACCAAACAGAACCACAGCACTCCACTCATATGTTGTACACAGGAGGGGCATGTAAAAAGGGGAATTAAGAGGCAATATAAAGGGGAAAGGTAGAATACTTGCCAGACCGAAAAAGAAAAATCCTTTAAATAGGAGGATAGAGTCATACTCTTCCTATGCTCATGTCATATCTTCTCTTATCTTCCTAAACGATGCTGTATAGATTGCAGTGAAAAGGAAGATTTCATAATCATTAATTTGTATATAATGGTCTCCTTTAATGCCCCAAAAGATTCATACAGTATTGACTGCCCCAAGAATTAAAAAATTATGTGTCAGTCCTCAAAAAAATCATGAGATATTATCTTTTAAATAGATACGTTTTTGCAGAAATGTATTTGTTTCGAGGAAACGTTTCTTGGGTCCAGAATGGAATTTCTGATCAAAACCAGAGAGTAGCCAATAGCCCAGTGGTTAGGGCATTTAGCGTGATACAGACCAGGGACTTGAACCTTCTCAGATTCTCCCACATCCCAATTAAATGCCACTGGTTCTTTTTATTTGCCTTCTGGCTTTGGGGATTTAGGTTTTATTTCCAAGCTTTTCTAGACACTTATCTGAGTTAAAAACATACCTTTAAAAAAAAAAAAAGAAAAACAGATTCTCACTAAATCACATGACTCCAGGAGCTGGGGTTTTAAGGAAAAATATGAAAAAAATCACAAGTATTGGCAACACTGATAAAGTTTCTTGCCCTAGTCTTTGTGAAGGCTGCCTTCACTAATTGTTAAGGTTGGAAGCTAGCCATAGAGAGGTTCCGTGTTCCCAGGTTAGTCACACTCCCCCCCACATACAGCTATACTATATCCCACAAAGCCTATTGTCATCAGTCTCCTGGACCATTGTGTGGCAAGGAAAGTAATAGAGCGACTTTGAGCTTCCTCCCATCCACTGACAGTTCATGCAGCCACATTAGTTCCTCTGCTGGGAAATCAACATGGCCCTTGTCCACAAGGGGAGGAGCCTGCTCTGCTACCAACTGGCAGCCAAAAGAAAGGGGATAAAGAGGGAACCTAACCAGAAAACACCAGCCCTTGAGAGCAGCCGGGGGAAAAGTGGGGGCAGAAAAAAAAGAGGCAGAGTAATGTGGAGCAGAGGGAGAGGGAAAGCTGATGACATGGTAGTTCCCAAATTCCCCAGTTCATTTAGAGACTTGTCTCTTGACATTATATTTAGATTTGTCAAGTATACATGGACCCTGATGCAAGTGGCCAGGCTCCACTTCTAGTACAGCAGAGACAGCAGGTCTCCTTCCAGAGAGATATACCACACCCCAGACTCAGGCCTTAAATAAAAAGTGATGCTTACTGCTTGGAGGTGAACCAACAACCCCCTACCCTCCAACAACTCATCTCATTGACCCAAAAATCCTAAAG